CCCCCCACACGTCTTCAGGCCACTGTAATGCAGTTGCTATGCTTTCAAACACACTGAAGAAGCTTAAACAGTGTACTGTGGGTGTAGAGGATGGAAATCAGCCAGGACTACTATTGAAACATCTGCTCACATCTGGCTGACCTCAGTTGTGTACATCCACAGAGAGCAGCAGGTCAGCTGATCACAGCCTGTACACTAAGAAAATCTACTGGAGCTCTCAATAGAAATTATTATGAGTTGTGATTCTTTTCCCCACACAGAGGCATGACAACGGATTCCTCCACCTGCTGAATCCACTTTAACACCTGACTGGACACATTTTCCTGTTTAAACACAAAGTCACCCTCTACAATGTAGGTAACACAAAATACAGCTTTCTTCTATTTTCCTTATTTTTCTTCAGATTCAAACTACAATTAGAATTAAAAAGTTTCTATTCCCAACGACTGATATTATTTTATCATTATGTCAATAAAGCACAAGGTTCAGTTAGTTTTGCATAAAAACAGGTGGTAAAAATGTCCTTCAAGCAGATACTTATACTTTCTTACTAGTACATTTCAAACTTGGTACTTTCACTTTTATTTTTAAAACAGGATTATCTGCACTTCTACTTAAGTACAGAATATGTCCTTACGGTGGGTGGGGTAATTTATTGATTCATATACATATCATATATCATAAAAGCTCCCAAAAAGGAATGTGAAATATTTATTTTTCTGAAAAATAAGTTTGATGCCAGGGTTAAGTAGAGAAAAATGTTCTCGCCAGACTCAATTTAAAAATCTTCCGATTTAACTCCTCCTTTCATTTTCAGTAGTCACTCATCTTTCTGGGCTCCACTGTGCACAGGTGATAGCCAATCACATCTGGTAAGTTCGGCATATATGTGACTTACAATAACGAAGCACAGCTCTTTAACAAGTAAAAACTCTTCATGCCATTCCTCCTTCATGCGCTGTCAAAGCAGTGTCCTCGAACAAATCAAAGGGACCTCCGACTACAACAAGACACGTTTGATTTAACAAACTTAACCCGAATTTGACACTAATGCATAGATATTCAATCAAAGCATGTCTGGTTTACTCGACACTGCACCTATTCAATAAAAAGCCAAAAAAAATCTTAAATTAGTACTTTTTTTCATTAAGTCTGGCAGAACTTTGGAATGTTGCTATCCGGCGGCAGGATGCGCATTTAGCCCTACAGCTCGCATTAACCGCTGACCTGTTGCTGCAGCCGGGCCGTGTACTCGGTCACAGGGTCTCCCATGTTCCTGAAGCTCTGCGGAGAAACTCTTCTGTCTGCTGGACTTGGAATCTCGTGGCTGACGAAATACAAACCGGAGGAAAGGAAGAAGCCCGTAACTTTGCAGTCCACTTCCGGTGCCGGGGAGCGCTTCTTCCTCGCTGCATTTAGCCGGATTGAGAGCGCCTCCTGCTGTATCGGAGCTTCCAGGCGCGATTTCAGTGGATGTTTTAGCCAAAATGACTTTTATGTGTGTCATGTGGTAAGTATCACTAAAAACACAACCACTGGCACGATAAGACTTACATAAGATGTTGGACTGTCATCAATTAACAGACATGCATTTGCAGCAGTGTGATGTTGCACTGAATGTGCATGGGAGTATTACCAATTATAAATTTAAACTTGATGAATATATTAAAATATTAAGCCTCTTGAGGCAGGCGTTGCCGATTTGCAACAGTTAAAAACTAACAACCTGATTACCCCACACACATATTTTATGAGGTTTTTTTTACTCAGAAGTACCACTGCAGGACTTGGTTGTGCATTAGCAACAAAAACTTAATTTGAGCCTGAGAGGGTTAAAAAGATCAAATAGATGGTCTCATATGGGAATGTCATCCTCTCTCCTGCTGCTTGTTTGTGTGCGTAGTTTGATTTTTAGGTCAACTTACAAAGAGCTGCAGCTGTTAAACATTTTAACTTTTTTCTATCTACTAAATCAATGTATCACTGTTATCGATACGGTGTCAGAAAATAAGCACAATAAGCTGGTGTGGTTGCATGAAGAAAATCTTGGTCTTGAATCTCTTTACTTTTACTTTGGTTGGAGAGTGACTGGTTTTGTCTCAGGATCAAATCTTTGCTTTTTTGTAGATGATGTGATTCCGCTCATATCAGCTCAACAATACAATGTATTTAAAAAATCACTTTTTTTCCTCCTCTCCAGTTAATGACTGGCATGTAGTCCTAAAATTGTCAGCATATAATAAAAGAAAAAGGCCCAAGTCCAGAACCCTGTTGTGTCCCACAGAAGTAATTAAGCTAATTAGACATGCAAGCCAACAATTTAATGCCAAGTTTTCATATACCAGCATTTTAATAGTCATCTTGAAACCTCTTTTGATCATTAGGATTTCAGAGAAATAATATTGCCTTTATCATCTCTGCTCTCATGGATTTCAGGACAGAAAGAAAAACACACAACACACGAGTAGAAGAGAAGAACTTTTTTTATATGTTGTGAAACTACAAAACATATCGTTTGTTTTTTGTGCTGGTGAAATATTTACAACTCTGGTCGACAGTACAGTGTCTGAGAATAAAATTCACAGCTTTTCAGGACTCTTACGATAAAAAAGGACAAAAAAGAAAAAAAAAAAAAAAAAAATCAAAAAAAAAATCACAGAAGTGCAATAAATACATGCAGTGTGTTTCTCGTAGCCGCCTGCAAACGCATCACCGGGTTTGAAAAGATTCATCAGATAAAATAAACAAAAGCACAAAAAACCCAAAGATTTGCCTACGTGATGAAGAAGAATCATTTGTGCTAACAGCATTTGTTTTTTAAAAAAACCTACATTCCTTCATCCAGATGTTTCAAATAAACGAGTCTTTTTTAATCAGAGGTTAACCGCTGAATTCCTATAGGTCCAACCTACTCGAGGAGACAGAGGACAAACAAAAAACGGCCAATATTAAAAAAATGAAAGTTCCTCCAAGTCTTCTTACACACCCACCGACGGCGGCTCGTTTGGACATTAAACAAAAACATCTCCAGAGCTGCAGTGAACCCGCTGCTCGCCCTGCAGCACGCCCAACTCTGTAACGTTCGTTCAGTTCTCAGTGCGAACAGTCGGCACAAACTGGAATCTACAGCTGATCTGCACTCTGAGAACAACGACGCATTTCTCGTTAAAAAAATACACCAGACGGCGAAAAAAACATGCAAAAGCTCACGAAGTGGTCTGATGAGCAAGTGTACGATTAAAAGTAACTTTTTGTAATTCCCCTCTGCAGACTAACTAAAATGTTCACCACCAGGGGGCAGTGTTTGCTGAATGAGTTGAGCCTTATTTCAATGATAAAAAATGCTCAGTGTGCAGATCAGGTCAAAGCAGCCGTTTCTTCATGTTGTCTTTAGTTAATTTTGGAACATTTACAGTATTTTTCTAAACCCTGAAATTTACATCAAGTACCTTAAAAAGAAAAAAAAACATCTGGCTGCATCTTTACGGTGACATCAGCAGTCTGAGAGTAAACCAAGGGAAGTTTCAGGATGGTATTGACTGGCAGGTGTTAGCTTAGCTTTAGCACCACATGCTAGCAGCTCACTATTTCCAGCGTCTGATTTTCTGTCGTGCCGTAGCAGAGGGTAAAATTACAAAAACACCTCGTGACGTCCTCGTTTTACGTCAGAGGACGGGGATCAGCTTTTAAATCTTTGGTTTTGGTCTTTTTCACTGACTGTTCACACTGATGTCGGGCGATGGTGTCAGATTCACATCCTACCGAGGCTCTTTCAGAAGTCATTCGTGTCTCGTTATTTCAATCTTATTACCTTTTTTAAACATACATTCTAGAAAAATATATCTACTCCTACCTGGACGTGGTGGGACTATATGACGCTTTAATGAGGACTGAAAACACTCACAGAGACTGGGCAGCAACAGGAAGTGGAGATGACGAAGGTAAACGGTCAAAATGGACAATAAAAAAAACCTCAATCATTTCCTAGAGCTGCTGTTTCTCTACACAGAGTTAAAAAAAGAAGAAGAGAGAAACATCTGGAATGACAGCAGCAGCAGCAGCTTGGTTTTCGTCAGCTACGTTCTTCTTTACACGGGGAATGGAAACACGAAGAACAAAATGCACCGACACCATCAGCCTGGTGGCCCAGCAAGAAGGAAAGTCGGACATTCAATATACAGCCACTTATTTCTGCATTCAGCAGCTACAGAGTGACAACATCAGGCAGTCACAGGCACTTTAGTGACCATTCAAGGCCCAGCGTTCATTTTTAGCTCCATTTTTGGTCTCCACCACCTGAATAAATCATCTGCTCCATGTTCAGCAGGTAGTTTATAATCCCACATTTTGTAATAATCTAGAATTCATGTTAAATGTTTTCCATGTGAAGAATTTTCCACTTTTTAAATCGTTATTTTGGAGAAAACTTCCTGACACGTGCCAGTATGGAGGATCAAAACCGCCAAAATAATAATGGAACAGCAAGCAAATTAATAAATAAATTACAAATGTAAAAAACAACAAAATTCTTCAACATTCAAGGCATTCAATTATAAAATGTAAGACAAATATCTGTTTACTGACCTTCCCTGTATTTCTGCATAAAATTAATTTAAAAATATTAACTCATGTCACATTTTACAAATTAATAAATACCTACATGTATTTATTTTTTCGAACATTTAATGTCATTTTATTATTCACTCAGTCACATATTTTGTTTATTTTGGCACCTTCAATCCTCCATATACTGAAAAGTAAAAAATTTCCTGTGCCAGATTTCTGTTTGCTTGTTTATGTAAACACTACATTAAACATCAGTTTATATAGAACGTGTCAGGAGTCTTTGGGAGTGACGTTTTTCTAATATTTACCAACTCCTGAGGCTCTTTAGCTGCTCAATGCATCGATAAGTTCACTGAATGTGTCTTTCTCCTCGTTTCAGAGCTTCAAACAGACTGAAACGAGCAGAAAAACAGTTTAAATAACCAGCTGAGGAAAAAAAAGACGATATGCTGAGTTTTGCTGGGGCACCACACTAACGCCATCCAACAGTTTTAAGTGCAGAAGGTCCAGTTCTAATAGAACTGAATGCTTCACAAACATCCAGTTACAGGTGGAAACGTGAGGGCAGGAAGTCTGAAATTAAAACTGCAAAAACTGATCAGCCAATCAGAGAGAAGCGCAGGAGCTTACGAAGCAAAGCTGGACTTCTGTCTTCCTATTGGCTGACGACTCCGTTTTTTTTCCAGTCGCTTCCAGTCAAACAATCATACGATCAATAACAAGTTCACAGTCATCAGAAATGCGTTTGAGATCACTTCCTGTTCCGACAATCAGAAATCGTTCCAGCGTGAGGCAAAGGTTTCCAGACGTTTAACTTTCCAAAAACCCACATCAAGTTTTTCTTTTTTCAAACTTCTACCTCAACTTTCTTAAAGTGCAAACTACCCGATCGACTACCTGAGTGTTAGTGCGAGTTAGTGCTGTTTCTACACCGATGTGTTTGTGTGACGAGAGACGATGATTACGGATTACGCTCAGAGTCTCCTCTGAGCTGCTATCGTGCGGCCACGCTGGCGTGCTACGACCACCTGTGCCGTCAGCACGACGTCGCTCAGTTTACAGAAAACGTACAGTTTGTGCCAGTGTTTGAAGATGAAGATAATCCTTAAGATTTCAGTCCAGGTCAGTTTGGCAGTAAGCGTGGCAGCTTTTTAACTCTTCGCCTCACAGAGAGCAGCTAATAACAGTTCAAAAAAATCCTTCTCTATGGCACACTGGACCTCAGTGCAGCCGCTCAGTTAATCCTCTCCGTGAAGGAAGCCGTTTTAGCCCCTCCCCTTTGAGGAAGGCTTTCCTTTGGGTGGAGCCTGAGATGGCCATATTAGGGAAATCCCCTCTGTATGACATCATATAGAACTAAGAGTAAAAGAAATGTGTTTGGACAGAATGTTGCAGAATGTTGCCGTCTTCCAGTCCTCTCGTGTATTTTAGTCCGTTTCACTGTTTACAGTACCATTTGTACATGGTACCAATTACTCCTGTATAGTATTTATGTTTATTAGTGTCTAATTCACTTTTTCTTCCTGACTCTTGTGCTGCTGTAACAGGTGAATTTCCTCAGTGATGGATGATTAATAATAAATATGCATCACACAGGAAACCTAAAGAAGTGCGGCGTTAGCTGAACACAAATGCTGCATTTTGGCTCTCTTTGCTCCAGTTTTGGTCTTCGTCACTTTAAAAATCCGGCTCTTATGTTCACAACATAAAAAAAGCAACTTTTAAGTGCCTCATTTTGCAATAAACTGTAGATTTAGTGCATTAAATCTCTTTATAAATGAGCCATAACATGTGATTTGTTGTCTTTTTGGCCTCTGGACTTTACTACGCCCTCCTTACAGTTTAACAGCGTAGTAAAAACCTATTTAATCGACACTGGGCCATAAAAAACTCAAAGGTATGTTTAAGGTTTAAACA